GAGGAGAACAAGGAGGTGGTGCCTCCTCGCAGCCTCAGCCCTGCAGGTTGTGTGCCCAGCAGGAGAAGGACATGGAGCTGCTGGAGCAGGTCCAGAGGAGGCCACGAAGATGATGCAAGGGCTGGAGCACCTCTGCTATGGAGACAGGCTGAGAGAGTTGGGGCTGTTCAGCCTGGAGAAGAGAAGGCTCCGGGGTGATCTTATTGCAGCTTTCCAGTACCTAAAGGGGCTACAGGAAAGCTGGAAAGGGGCTTTTTACAAGGGTGTGTAGTGACAGGACACGGGCCAATGGATTTAAACTGAAAGAGGGGAGATTTAGATTGGATACAAGAAAAAAATTTTTCCCTCTGAGGGTGGTGAGGCACTGGCACAAGTTGCCCAGAGAAGCTGTGGCTGCCCCATCCCTGGAAGTGTTCAAGGCCAGGTTGGATGAGGCTTTGGGCAACCTGGTGTAGTGGAGGGTGTCCCTGCCCATGGCAGGGGGGTTGGAACTGGATGATCTTTGAGGCCCCTTCCAACCCAAACCCTTCTGTGACTCCATGATGTTACATGCTATATGTGATACATGCTATAGGCTTCAGCGGAGATGGGCGTTTTCCACCCCTCCATATGGCAGCGAGCACTCTGCCCCGGCAAGGGCTGCTGGAGGCAGCGGGCACGGGCTGACGTGAAGCGTCCCTGGGTCTCTGCCTAGTGAGACATCACACCCTGAACACTGCTCAGGGCATGCAGCAACTCTGCAGTCACGAAACCCAGCAGTGAGAAGTGTAGGTTAAAGCATTTTTTTTTTTTCTTTTTACAGTAAATATAATATTAATCAGTTCATACTGTAACATGTAGCATACACTTACCACGCTGTCTGAGCCCCACGTGTAATTTAAGACAGTTCTAATGCACACACACTAGCTCTACGTAGACTTTCTCAGTTTGCACTCTCGGTTTGCTTTGGGGAAAAAAAAAGTGTATTTCTAGTTGTGGAGGTGGCAGAGCGAAGCTCCTGGTTGCACCCTACAGGCACTGAGCGGCACAGAGATGTGAAACAACATTGAGGCCATGATTTGGAAGACTTGGTTGAAGGTTTCTGAGTGCTTAGGACTGGCAACACGTCCACAGCGAGCGACAGCCAGAAACAACACTGCAGTTGGTTGGGAGTGTTGACGATGCTCCAGTCGTTTTTCCATCTTTGAGCAAACAGAAGGGAGACCGCGTTACGGGTACGAACGCCGCTACCTCATTCACCTGCAGAATTAGTGCCATTTGCCAAATCCCAAGGGAGAGGCTGGCACAAGGCATCACCTGTTCTCCAGCGCCAACAGACGCCTGCCAGTTCCTCCCCTCCTGGGTTGAGATGTTCCTGGCCAGCACATGCTGTGTTGGCCCCGAGGGACTCCTCGGAGCGAAGGGAACCGCTTGTTTTCTTTTGGTAGGAGACACGCGAGACTGTCTTACCACCGTGCACCAAGCAGATGGCACAGTGGGGAAGCTCATGCCAGGTGCTGTTTTTTTCTGGAGCTATACTGGCTTTTATCAGAAATAACCTTCCCAGACGATCGAAGGCCAAAGTGATGGGTTTTCTGCCGTGACGTGGTGACACCAAAGGGCTGCAGCTACTATCACCTTCTAGCAAAAGCTTTGCAGGTCTGAACTCGGTGCTGGGACAGCCACTCAGTGGAGAAACAGCATCTTCTAGGCGAGGCGGACGGTGCCGTTGGAGCCCGGGGCAGCAGGACGGACCCTGCTCACCATCGGTGCCGAGGCCGTGTCCCTGCGTGGGGACCAGTGGCCATGTGGGGACAGGTGCTGTTGGGCCCCCTTCCGCAGCCTGAGCATCCCTCCAGGAAAACAGGATGGAGGCAGAGAGGTAAAATCTAAAGATTATGAAATAAAATACAGGCAGGGGTGGGAGGGGGAGAACAGAGCGTCGCCGACACCGGGGGAAACAGGACGATGTTACAGGTGAGGGGCTGAGACTGGACTATCTGAAAAAGAAAGAAGAAATCTCGTTGGGGAACAGGCAGTTGCTCCAGGAACAACTCAGCACTAGGGGACACCACTGTACCATAAATCGCAGCGTATGCAGCAGAAAAACGTCCAGTTTCACCACCTCACTTTCCTTTTATAGGCATTTCTGACGCCGATGCTGTACATCACTTCAGCCCTCCTCCCAACTCGTCATTTTTACAGCCCATACAGACGCCACGATTTCTAACTCACCTCATGGCAGTAACGGGTCCTGTTTCTCGGCACACATTTCTCTCCAGGTCCCTCTTCCTGAGCAAAACCTCCTCAGCAGTTGCTGCTGGGGTGGCACTTTTCTGTGTGCCACAGGGCAAAGACCCAAGCAGGGGACAACTGCTCTCACCTGGAGCTGAGTTGCTGCTGAGCCGATGGCAAAGCTCCCTCCTCACCAGTACAGACTGGAGTTTTATAGCTAAGCAACACAGTGCAGATCCTGCACGTATCTATAAGTAGAGAGTATCATTCTTGGCAGACTTTTCCACGCAGGAACCCCTGTGTGATACGCAACCACACAGGACACCCTAAATACATTGTCCCCACCAAAAGCATCGCTCCCCTCCAAGTGCCTTCTGAGCATTTTCTATCTGTAAATACAGATTTATTGAGGTCCCAGCTGCTGCCAGGTGGGGTGCTCCACCTCTGCAAGACCTACCAAGACCCCTGCTTCCATCAGAAGTGGTTTGGCTCCAACAGGTCCCCGCTCCAGCAGCCCCAGACAGCACCCTGAGCCCAGGGACGTTGGGCTACAGCAAAGGCCGGTTTGGCTGGACCAAACTCCAGCTCCAAGAGACTGGGCCAGCGATTCCCCCAACATCGCAGCCTGCTCCAGGTGCTGCCCTCAGCAACTTCTGTGCTGCTTTGACTAAGTTTTTGATATCATTATAAATTATTATTATGTGAATACTATGCTCTAGTGCTGTCTGTAGACAAAAATGTATTGTAGGGAAGAAGAACCTGGACGCAGAGACTTTAAAATAAAGACACAGAAAATGGTAATTGGTAAAAATCTAACTTGCGACATTTTAATTTAAGTTTTTGGCAATCTATTTTTAAATAGCCTTTCTTATTGCACAAAAACACACTGCCATTTCTCTTGCCGTAACCAGTGTCTCATTAAAAAAAAAGGTACAATAAAAATGCTTTGCAACACAGATATACACACACACATATATATAGCTTCACTGTACAATATTTTAGAATTTGGGAATGTGCTTATTATCTCTACATACTCTGAAACTCAGTTTTCCATAATGATTTCTATTTACAGTTGCACAAAGCCTCGTGCTTTGAGACACAGCTATAACACTTGGTGCCAACCCTTGGAAAGAAGTTTTAGCCAAGTCTCCTCTGGCACAGTTACACCCCTAAACTAGAAGCCCTGCCCTCCTCTGGGTTTCGGGGAACTGCACCGCCCCGCTGCACGAGCAGCTCTCAGCCCTCTTCCACTATACAGATCCTCAACATTTTCATAAAGGGGTTTCAGATCCCTAAATTGTTCTGCAGGTGAATTTGCTTTAAGTGCCTTGTGCCGACCTGGGGCAAGGCAGACTGTGGTGTAAACAGTGAACTCACCCTCTCCTGCGTACCTGTAAAGGTAATTTCTCAAGCAGACCCCTGCCCCCAAGCCAAACGCCTTTTGCTCACAAAACCAGACTTGCTATTCATTTATCAACTGCTTTTCCAATTAAGAGTCTAAATCCTACAAGAATTCCTATTTCTGTCTTCATGTGTCACACATCTCGGGCTGGGCTTCGCTCCAGCAAAAGGCTGGCACTGCTACTTTTCCCTGGCTTCACTGGAAAAGCATAGGAATGTTTCCTTCTGTCCAAGACTTGCAAGTTTTTCTTTACACAAGAAACACAGCCTAATCCGGTTTTTCATCATACTGTACTCAAAATAAAGATTCTCTTTCAAGATCTGACTCACATTAAAGATCAGATTCACTTTAAAGATTCACTAAAGATCAGACTCTTGATCTCCAGATCTTGCTGGAGACTTTTCCAAGGGCCTTGGGTTGCCTCTTCTCTGCAAGGTGTGAGCAAGGGGAACACTCTTCAACAAGATCAAACATCACATAGAGCTATTTTTGAAAAGGACTGCTGCATTAATTTTTAAAAAAACCTTGGTCAATAGTTCAGAAGCAGAGGCCTGATCCTGCACTGGATCACCCAGAGCTCTGCTTTTCGGTAAATCCTCCTGAAGGACTGGATGGATAATCCAGATCCTGCAGCCATCACTTACAGGACCAGCCCCACTGAAATAAGTTTCAAACACGCATGAGGATACTGCAATTTTAAAACTGCTCCCACAGACGAGGCTCTTCTAGAAGTTCAAAAAGGTTGGCAGACCTGCTGCCCACGAGAGCGTGTCCCAAGAGCTGCTCGTTTGGGGTGGGAGAGGGGCTCAAGGCCAAGTTCCTGGATTTGCAGCTCCAGGGTTGCACCAGCCCTGCGAGTTGAGTCGCACGCACGTGATCGGGTTGAGAACTGCGATGCAAAGCCGAAGCAGCTGGGAGCAGGGCAGGAATCATCTTGGCCCCTGTTGTGTAAATAACGTAGCAGTTGTTTGAAGATGCAAGGAAAACTCTGCCCTCTTGATTTGTCAGTAGAAACGTTGTGTTTACATTTCCCACTGACTCGGAGAATGAACACGCTTTGTAGAGCTGTGAAATGAAGCGAACGCCCAAATACTGGCTTTGAAGAGTTTGTTTACTTGAGTTTATCATCAGATCAGCAGTTTTCTGGTGCTGGCGGTGGCTCCTCCATGCTAAGTGGCTGTGCATGTCCAAGCAGTGCTCCTGGGGAAGGGGCTGGCCATCCCCGGCGCCAGCGGTACCACCGAGTAGCGTAAATCAGGGACCGTACGTTGTTATTATTACATACCTAATTGTGACAAAGGCTTGCAAGCCTCCATTATGTCTTCTGGAAGAGTTCTGAGATCTCTGTTGCCCATCTGAGATCTTAGAGGAAGGTCTAGCCCCCTTATGAAGAGGCCACAGTTGACTTTCCATTCTCCCTATGGCTTTCTCCAAAGGGTTCCTCATCTTTCTCTTTCACGGAGAACTTTTTCCTGAAGGCTTGCGTTAAGCTGGAGGAAGAAGCCTTCCTAAACGTGGTAAGCCTCTTCCGAAAGTTGCCTCCTGAGAAGAAATAGAGAAGTGGGTCAAAGCAGCAGTTGGCAGCTGCCAAGGGGAGCGTCATCACGACAGATTTCTGCAGGTATATGGCGTCCTCGCAGCTGGCGTTCTTCAGCCGCAGCACGTGGAGGTGGACCGTGCGCAGAACGTGGTACGGGGTGAAGCTGACCAGGAAGGTGGCCGTCACGATGATGATCATCCAGACCGCCTTCTTGCGGTTAGCCTGGTTCTTCTTCAAAGAATTTTTCAGTAAGGTCCTTATGATCATGCTGTAGCAGATAGTTATGATAATAAAGGGAAAAATGAAACCCACAAATAGGGCAATAAAATCCAGGATCACCACTAGATTTGTCTTCTGAGAGTCTTCTGGGGGTTCGAAGCACTTGGTCTTGTTGCCATATTGGTACGTCCCGTTTCGCAGAAAGGGAGCGCTTGTCAGGGTGACAAAAATCCAGATGCCGATGCAGACAAATTTAGCCTTCTTCTCCATTACCAAATTGATGTTCCGGACTGGAAAAACGATGGCCACGCAACGGAAGAAGCTCATTGCAGTCATGAAAAAAATGCTGCAATACAGGTTGACGTACAACGCGTACGAACTGATCCTGCACAGGAAGTCACTGAAGAACCAGTTGCCTTTGTGGACGTAGTAGATGACGCGCAGGGGCAGGGTGCACACGCAGAGGAAGTCGGACACGGCGAGGTTCAGCATGTACACCTGGAAGGCTGTCTTCTGCTGGTACGTTTTTATGAGGACGTAGAGCACAACGCCGTTGCCGACGAAGCCCATGATGCTGATCATGGAGTAGAGCGTGGAGTAGACGCGGTTTCGGAAGTCGTCGATGGAGTGATGGCACGACAGGTTATCGAACTGCGCCGTCATGTTGCCTGGCCAAGGCACCGGTTCCACCTGGTGATGAGCGTCAGGCCTAAGGATGAAAAACTCAGGTGAGCTATGTAAAGCAGCACAAGAAAATAAAATGCCATTACTAAATAGGAGGAAGAAAACCCATCATCTCTCTCGTACAGGAGAGAACAGCAAGGGATCTGCGCAGATCCGTGTTATTGTAACTATCCACTACAGCCACCTTTAACGTGGTACCAACAACTGGTGACATGAAGATGACAGTCACATTTTCACAAGTCCTCAGTACTGGCAGCATCCTTCTTCCACTGAATCACCAAAAAGCTCTAACTCCTCACAAACTAAGGTGGCTGCTCATCAAAACAACAGAGAGGAATAACGCAGGTGGCCATAGCACTGTGCAATTCAAAATAAAAAGATCAGATCTGGACCCTGCTGGCTGTTTTGTCCTGCCTCTCCACTTGGCCTGGCCAACGCTGCCGCCCTGTGCTCCCCTCCATGCCTGCCTGCGGACGGACAGGTTGCTGCAGGAGAACGGCCACAAGAAAGTTTCTGAAACAGTAAAAGAAATCTGTTAAAAAAAAAAATTAAAAAAACCCAAATCCTTTGCTCAGAAGGTGGAAGACTATTCCAAGCCAGGGGCTGCCCAGTGCATGACCAGATGTTTATCAGCTCCCCAAGCTCTGCATTGCTCACAGGTAGCACCATTTAAGCTTGCTGTACTAATAAATACATGTAATTACTTTGGAACAGCCATCGCCTATCGTATCTGACAAACGGGAAGCGTCGCTGTAGCGGAGGATGCTGCGGGGCTCCGGTTTCCCCGGCGCTGCCCAGGCAGAGATGCTGCTGCAACACCCGGCAGGTGGAGCGGGAGACTGCAGGGAGGCTCATGTCATGGAGGACAAACCTCTTGGTCTGGAGGCATCTGCCCTGTCAAGGTAACTCCCTAGCAAAGGGTTTCTTCTTGGGTTTGCTTTTGTACGTTGCTCTGATTTACACTGGGGGTCTCCAGAGCAGTCAGACCCTACAGCCAGGGAGGGTTTTCGGATCCGCTCAGCCAGTCTTTCATGAAATTTTATTTTTCCTTTTGGTCTTCATTTGAGTGCAGTGAGACAGGACGCTCTTAATTTGTGTTGTCCTAAAGTAAAGCAAGAGAAAAATATGCATTTACATATTTTTCCCATTCATTTCCAATTTCCAGTGGTTCAGACACAGAATCTCACTTGCAGTGTGAGACCACGTAAAACCCCGATGATCAGAACCGCAGGATACACCCAGGCTGAAATAACAGGACTGGAACAAAAACAATGATGAAAGCAACAGCTGGGACAAGAGCAACTGAGAACCCACACTATGTATGTGCTCCAAACTGGTGTTAAATGGCTCACATTTTCATCCATGAAAATAGCCTGGCAGCATTAGAGCAGAAGGATTCCCCCAGTCTCTCTCCTGGATACAGTGGGAATTTAGAACCACGCTGAGATGCTCGAGACTTTGAAGTTTCAGTCAAGCTTCAGCTTTTTGGGAGTCTGCGCTCTTACAACACCCCTGTGGTTATCTGCGACGCACAAAATACATTACAGCTCAACAGATGCCAGCGAGGTGGCAAAACCTAACAAGAGAGGGGCTTTCCCCCCCCCCCCCCCCCCCTTGGGCTATTTGTGGACACAAGACAGGGGTGTGCGAACCACCAACGGTGCGGCTGCACAAAGGTCTTTGGCCAGAAGAGGCAGCCAAGACCCAACACGACTCTGCTTGGCTCTGTCAGAAGCCGTAGATCAGAACATTGTCCATCACTTATGGTTCACCTCAGCTTATGTAGACAAAGCTTATCTAGCGATGCCCATGGCAAATAAACCTGTTAATTGGAAAGAGCAGCCGCATCCTCTCCCTGGCCCGCATGTGCCGCCTCTCGGCAGCCTGGTTCTGGTGCTGGCAGGACCCAGACCTCAGCCCTGACTTGGATGAGTCCAGGTTGCTTGCAATGGAAAGCTCAGAGTGGGTCTGAACCCC